AGGCTACCAAAGTTGTGACCAGGGTCTGAAAGGAGGAGTTGTTTGCGCGGATGAGAACCGTGAGCTCATCGGCGAACATCAGCGCAGTGGGTAGGGCAAAGTCATAGATGGGGCTGTAGTTTTGTTCGGTGAGGCAGTCTATGGAGGGGTCTTTGCGGAGGAAGGAGGCTATGGCTTCCATGATGAATATAAAAATTGGGGGCACAAGCGGGTCGCCTTGGCGAATGGATCTTGATATCGGGTAAGCTTCCAACAATATTTTGTTTAGGACTCTGCCCATGGCGTCTCCGTAGAGCTCTCGAACCTACTCTTTGAAGTTTGGGCTGACTCCCATCTTCTCCATACAGCTATGGAGGAAATCCCAATTGACTTGATCATAGACTTTTTCAAAGTTAAAAAACAGGACCGCAACTTGCATTCGTTTTTTTATGATCTTCTTTGCTGCCTCATTCAAGGCCATCACATTGTCTAGTATGTACTGTCCCAGAATGAAACCTGCTTGGTCAATGTAAAAACATTTGTCTGTGAGTTTTATGATCATGTTGGCTAGTGCTTTTGCTAGGACTTTGTAGGGGGTTGTGAGGAGTGAGATCGGTGTGTAGTTTTTTAGGTCTTCTTTTTCCCCTTTCTTGTGGATTAGAGAGACCACACTAGTGCCTAAAAACTGACTTTCCCCATTACCGGCCAGAAGTAGACCCATAACTCTTCGGATAGGCCATCGATTCCTGGTGCCTTGTCGTTACCCATCTGGGCTAAGGCTGCATGAAGTTCCCCCAGGGTAATTGGTTTGTCCTTGTCCTTTGTTTGCTCCTGCGTGATCGTTCTGTCTAAATATGACAACATATGTTGGTGGGCGGTGATGTTCGTTGCGGGAGGGGGGAAAGGGGTCTTGGACTCGTAGAGGTCGGCGTGGAAGGATCTGGCAATCCTTACCATGTCTGTGCCGGCTGATTTTGTTTACCCTGCTCCGTTGGGACTTTGAGCCTCTCAATCATGTTGTTTCTAGCATTGGCCTTGACTTTAGAGAAGAAGAACAATGACATGGATTCGTTGAGGCTGTACTCTGTTATTTTGGCGCGTAGTTGTGAGCCCCTAAGCTCCCATCCCCTCCCAACTCATCTTTGGTGGATGTGAGTAGGTCATGTTAGAAGTTGTCAATGGGGTCTGAGATGAGGTTAGCTTCCACAATAGACATAGCAATGTGGAGTTCTTCCTTTCTAATTTTTGTGTTCTGCTGCTATGCTTCTCGACTCAGACGAAGCAGTCTGGGATAGGTCCACATAGCTGTCTATGAACCATTGGTGTCGGTTATGACACCTCGCTTCATTCTGTTGCATTAGCAGCCAGTTCCATCCGACTGCCTCTGTTAGACGGTCTGTGGAGAGGAGAGAGTTGTTTAGTCTATAGAAGCCCTGACCTTTTTCTACCGGGAAGTTGAAGTTGAGGAGCAGGTAGGTGGGTTTGTGATCCAGCCTTTGAAGGCTGATGCTGGTAGAATTCCGGCCTCCTTGATTGCTCCCTGCAGGAGCTCGGAGATTAGGAAAAAGTCAATCCTTGAGAGTGACGTCCGGTTTGCTCGGTTTCTTTTGATTAGGGAGAAGGCTTTCGCGCGGGGATGAAGGGTTCAAAACGGATGGATCAGTTCGAACTCCGTCATAATGTTTTGGATGTGAGTGCCGGCTCGTGTGGGGCCCAGCAGTAGGGATCGGGAGATGCGATCTAGGCTAGGATCCAATGTCGTGTTCCAGTCACCTGCTATGATTATTGGTAGAGGATTCTGGAAGAGCTGTTTAATTCTGTCAAAAAACACTAGCCGTTTGTTTTCTCCGTTGGGCGCGTATATGTTCAGAATCCTAAGCTCTTCTCCTTGCCACCTGATTTCGATCCAGGACCATCTACCTTCTGGTATTAGGGTTTCTGTGCCTCGTTTGCTCAGACCATCTTTGTTGGACCATAATGTGAACGGGGAACCGCCCAGACTTTTTCCCACTGTCCTCTTTACTCTAGCGTGGTTTGTGAGGATGGATAGGTGGGTTTCTTGCAGTAGGATTATGTCTGGTTTCAATTTCTTCTTGTCCTTGAGGCCTAGCCGGATGTCTCAAAGTTTATCTTCCTTGAACAAGATGTTTCCCAATCCGTTGACGTTCCAGCTGTGGATTGTCAACCCTTTTGATTGCCAGTCTGTTCTGACTGACTCAGTCAGTGTATGTTGTTGGCCCTTCTTGTTTTTTGTTTTTGTGTTTTTTAACCAGTTGTCGATTGGCCTATGGCCGACCATCTCCCCCTGAACACACAATGCACCCTGATTATGAATATATACAAGCTATTTTTACGGTCTGATACAGTCATGATGAGTGGTGCCCTGTGTTCGGGGGAACACAGTAACATGATTACCTCACCTGTATGCTGTCTGCAACTTCGCATCCATGTCCACATGGCAGCAGCTTCGATGTTCGTCTCCCAGTCCAACCCCTGCTGCTTCCTTTCTTTTCCCGCCTATCTTGTTGCATAGTTCGCATTGTCGTTCAGATGAAACGAACATTCCTGCTCATCGTGCCCATACAGAGTAATTACAAGAGATCATAATTTGCGTGCCATATCCTGCTGAAACGTTGGAGATGCGATATCGTCAAGCAGGACGTGAAGAATCAGACAGCTTGGCAGAGGGAGCACTTAGGGCACATAATTTCACCTACTCAGTCCTAGTTTGCATTGTTCGTATCCTTTTTCCTTATGGAAAGCTCATCTTCCTTTTCAGTCCCCACCTTTTTGTTCCTTTCTCCTCTTCCCTTCTCCCACTTTGCTCTTGCCAGACTTGCCCCCTTCCCGC